GACAGACAGTCAGACAGACAGACAGACAGACAGACAGACAGACAGACAGACAGACAGACAGACAGACAGACAGACAGACAGACAGACAGACAGACAGACAGACAGACAGACAGACAGACAGACAGACAGACAGACAGACAGACAGACAGACAGACAGACAGACAGACAGACAGACAGACAGACAGACAGACAGACAGACAGACAGACAGACACTAGGCGCGCGCTCGGCCCCTTACATGTACGAATTCCACAGCCAACCGCTCGCCGTACGGCTTGAACTTGCCCTGTCGTACAAGGCTCCCGCGTACGGCTGTTAAGTCATTGAGTATTATGCACGCTTCTTGCGGGTTGTTGGTCAACTTGCAAATCATGAATAGGGCATCCTGGCCTGTTGTGCGTTGAGATGCGGCGATTGGGGATGGTATAAGTTCAGAACGAAAAAGGGGATTGGATGGATGATACATGCCACAGCCATGGCACCCAGAGTCTGGGTGCTCTCTTAATGACGACAAACTGATGCATGATATGACGGGGCTGTAGATGTGACAGCTTTCCCTGGTAGCATGGTACGGTGTTGCTGACAGGTTCTGGTTCCTTTCATGGAGCTAGCGAATAGATATGTGTGGCATCCTTGCTTGTTTGTGCGTCATTTGTTTATTGTTGCTTTTGTTACGTCATCATGTTACGTCATCATGTTACGTCATCATGTCGAACTTGGAGTTACTGACAGCTAGGGTGTGTCCCCAATATTAGCTCAACTTCAGCAGCAATCTGGAGCTTGCGGATTGCTGTGCACCTGTGGCCGAGTGGTTAAGGCGCCGCCCTGCTAAGGCGGTGAGGTTTCCCCGCGTGCGTTCGAATCGCATCGTGTGCGGCATTGGATTTTGGTCCATGTAGTCCCACAGGCACTCCCACAGGCACTCCCAGCAGATCGCTGGCTTCCGGCCATCAAACCTGCAGCAGCTGCGGTTGTCATCCTACGGTGACAGCACCTCAGCAGCTGGGTTTTCCATGTCGTGTCACAGTT